ATTAGAGACCCATTAGCCTTTTATAACACGTAGAGTGTATACATTGTTAACAATTACATTTTGGGAATGGAACAATTTAAAGTTTAAAGACCAGCCAATCAATAATAAACGATTATATGCCATTGGCCACATGTATACTGCCAAATTTTGAAAAGGGCATTTAATTTAGTAGGACTTATGAAGTAATCCAAGCTCTTGAGTCCGAACATAAAACGCCCTTAAAAGCATGGAACAGCAACATATGCAATTCAGTGAAAAATTACACAAATACATATTAGAAGGTAAGTCAGACAAGGATTCGCACCATCACAAAAGTTATTCACTGCGAGATTACAGTAGATGTTTTGCAAAAAAATTGTCTTCGACAAATAAAAGGGGTAACTATGAATATCACATTTTCTGGTTATATAGCCATAATAACGACCAGTGGATAAGAGCCACAACAAACAATTGATTAATTAAGGTTTCAGAATGGGGCTGAAGGTAAATATGATCCAAACCAAAATAATATGCCTCAAGTTCCCAAAACAATAGAAAATATCTGATGGGGGGGGGGGGGATAGAACTGTAAGGCACTTCAGAGTATGTGTACCCAGGGCAGTGTTATTGAGAGTTGACCGCGATCACAATTATTTAATAAAATAGGTGGATCAGAAGAGATTAGGGTGCATTTGGAAAGCTTAACAATCAAAATCAACAGTACAATGTGGCTCAAGAGTAACGTATTTTAATTCGCACATATTACCTGCTGTGATATTGATCAGAAACGTTCATGGTTGACTCAGAAAATGTAACAAAAGCTGAAATGTGCAACAAAAAAAGCATTGACGCATGCTAGGAATTGCACTCACAGTCATAAATACAAATACCTGGATTGATAACATAATGGACTTGGTTTGCTGGAAGATATGATGGCTAGTGGTCAAGATTAATAATGGAGTGGCAGCAAAAGGAGAAAACACACCGAGAGAACATCCACCACACAGATTGAGAGATAAAATCAACCTCTGGCAGTGGTAGATGGATTGTTACACCATAAGACCGTGGTGATGCCTTGGCTAAGCTTTCTTCCAGTAATGCAGAGATTATGGCTAATGTTGATGGAACTCATTTTAACCCATTCTATATGGGGCACTGGGAGCGGATCATATTATCTCTGGTTAGTTGTGCAAATTACTCTTATCCTCAGGGTAAGCACAAAAAAACATCGATAATAGGATAAATTTGCTGCCGCTGATGGATCACTTCTAAACTGTACAAAGGCTTAGATAATGAGGTGAATTTAGAACATTCAGGAGACTGATTAAATACATAACAGGTGTTCGCGCAGATGGAATTGTGATTGTAATGCATTACGAATGGGGCACGTGTATATGACCCCAGGTCTGCTTCCAGGTGTCTCTTTATCACTGCCAAGGCTCTGTCTGGCAGTAACATGAATTGTCCGTCACTTCCAAGTCGCTTTTCTCATCTGTAGTAAAGCTGTGGAAAATCAGATGCATTAGCTTCCATTTCAAGGTCATTACTCTTATTTGCGTAAAAATGCTTTGGATGAGAGGACGGACTCATTGTGGATTATCGTATTTTGTGAAGATTTATTTGGGTAGATGGATAATATGAGCATGGGCTAATAAGTCTACATATAGGGACAGTTGCAGTGTCCCACTATTCATATAAATCCTTGTTATATGTCAACGTTTGTTTGCTGTATGTTAATTAAGAAGTGAAGATGGAAATGTGATCTCGGTCAGCTTGACGCTATGTTGTAGTTGTGCTGTATAACACCATTATGTTACGATAATGAGATATGAGCACCAGTAACACATCTGAAATGGATGCTGGTTTGATACTTCGATACATTGGAAGGTAACTATTACCAGCCAGATTTACCACGAAATTTTGATTTTGACATACTCGCTGTATTTTACCATTGATATTCTATGAAGCCAGTACCCAACCGATCCTACGAACCAGGTGATGTGTTTCTAAACCACACGTTTGTCAATCTGCGCACCATGGGTGACCTGAAGCATTGTTATGGTCGTAGTCATACACAGCCGGGGTCATACTTTACATGCAATTATGCCCTGTCCACCAGGCCGAGCATAGCAGCACTTATTGGTTCAAGCACGGTGATATTTTTAATTAATGAGTTGTATTGACCTGCATAGATCGTTATCAATACGTTGCACACTCGAAATGAAAGACGTGGGCATGTGCTCCAAATCGAGGGTAAACACATTTATTGTGGTTCATCTGTAGAATGCAACAGCACGTGGTGTCACACACAGCAATCCTCAGCCGAGTCGCTATTAATCATGTGACTGGTGTACACGTCCCGTTAATCAATAACAGTTTTCTTAAACCCAATTCTACTACTGATAAGCCATCTGTCTTTGCCAATAACCTTTGCACTTTACTATTCGCATATTACTTTAAGCCTAAGCTGTATGTCGATCTATACCATCCACTTATATCGGTATCTTACACCCATTACCTGTACTGTATGTGTACAATATACGTACTGGACTTGTCACCATTGTACAACTTACTACTCTACATGTGTTCTATTCTCAATAGCATTACAAGTAGTCATACTCTGGGTGCATGGGCATGGTTATAGACTAAACAGTATTAGGGTTAGATAATTAAAATTACAGCATGTAATTACAGTGCATCATCCTTTACAATGCACAGTGCTAAAAACCCTTCCAATTGAATATATCACAAACGAACAATTCAAAGCCAAGCTTAAAGTCTAGAACAAGTCGATAACAAGTCTAGAACATTTCTATAACGATCAAAAACAACCTTTGGGTCATATTCTTAGCTCTTTGATGACGACCGTTTGTGTTATGGTCGAAACGTCGTGAGAATTTTTATTGTTTTATATATTTTATTATTTTATTGTTTCCCTTCAACGTGACTTTACCGAAAGAGCTAAGAATATGAATTACTGCAGTCACGAAAGCTTTAAATCAAAATGTAACCTTTGGGTCCTTTACCTGTGAGATGCAACAGCACGTGTGTCACACACAGCAATTATTGAACCGAGTCGTCATTAACCACGTGACTGGTGTACACGTGCGGTTATTCAATAACCCTGCCAGCCACCTACAGGCCCAACTCAGTCACCACATGCTGCTGTACACATGCATTGATGCACTGCACAGCACATCAGGACTTTCACAGAACCACACTTTACTCCCTTGCTGCACAAAGAAATAATTAAAAGAGTGGTCCATTCCTAATATGCCACAAATACCACATCTCCTTGGTTTCTTCAAGTCAAAATGAGCCCTTATTCAACACTGTATACTGGAAATTACTCAAGTGCTTTGACAGATGGACAAAATAAGTTTCTTATATTTCAGCATGGTGCTATTGCCGTAATGCCGTGAGATGAAAACATTTCCATTCAGAACTCTGATAGAAAGCAGCGATTCACCCCATGATAGAGGATTTCCTAAACAAAGTACACGTATTATGGGATTTTGTGAGATGCCTTTCGTTATCTTATGTCAAAACTAGGTACACCCTCCCCCAGCTTGCATACCTGGCTAGATAGGAGTTGGACACATTGCAGTCAAACAGCCATAAAAATATGAATCATTGTGTGTGTGCAGTTATCAGTGACTTATGGCTGCTGAACTTAAGAAAATGCATTGTACTCATGGGTGTTCGCTCAGATGGAATCCAACATGTCAGTGTTGCCGGTTCATTGCCATGGCACAATATTAACCCTCTCAGCTACCCATCCATCTTCACTCTTGGTATTCTGATTCCATATTCTCACAATCCTGAACACACATTCATCATTGCTGTCACCTGAAGCACTGATGATATCATGTGGGTATAGAGACGACACCACGCCTGATGGCCCCTTGTGGTGCAGCCATGTTCTGCCGGTTCAACAAATTGATTTTGTGAATGTTATTTGTTCTTTTTTTATTTTAAGTTTTTTTTTTAATTCATTGTTCTTTATTTAACTATTTGAAATCTCATTGAGATCCAATGACATCGAATAGCAGTATTTTAGTAGAAGCTGGAAATTCCATAAGCAGATGGCACGTTAAAAAATATATATCTTAGGTCATGATTGCTGAAAAAGTGCAATTGTAATAGGTAATGTCATTTTGAAATAATTTGAATCATGACCCATTCGTGTGGCGCGGTGAATAGGGCATGTTCGTATTGTTGTAGTAAACATTGTTGAAATTGAATATAAACTATTTTAATACAATTTAAAACAGTTCTGGTTCACAAAAAACCACATCCTGAGTCGTGTCATTGCAAACAAATATCTGCAGAAACATGCAAACTGCAAAAAAGTTGACACGTTCTTTTACCAACGACAACCTACCCCAAAAACAAGACATCAATAATGTACCTCCTTACTGACTCAAGTCCTGATCCCTCATCTGGATTCATGCTGTCACTATCCTAGATTGTCACCCAGATTCAGAAGAACGCTGGCGAACAGTCGAACAACACGGACGTCCATAATTTGCACCTTAACTGAGATCCAAACATCGCACCTCCTGACTTTACTTTTTTTTAAAGACACAGGTATAATAATTATCAACCGCATCATAACATCAACAGGTCGGTGTGCACATCTTCATAAATGGAACATTAAAGAAAAGTGACTGCGGTCTTGCAACCCAAACTATGGGTCATATCGTAAAACATTGTATTCAATGGAATTTGAATAGCAAAACTACAGGAACAAACCCTGAAGCCCTCTGGACGTGGCTAGCGACTTCGACACGTGGCATTTAACTCCTGAAACGCATTACCATCATACGCAAGAATCGAATAGAATCGCTAACGATGAAATTCCTGAGCCCTGTAATGGAACAAAACTTCGCGGAGATTAGAAGAAAAAAAAACACCCAATATCCAGCTGTTGTGTTGATGGATTCTGTTCTCAACAAATTTTAAAAATAAACCCCCCACCCAATGTGGGCCCTCGTTGGCACTGGCGAACGAACTCGCGATGCTGCTGCTGGAGGAGGCGGCGGCGTGCGCGATGCGCGGGTTGCCATAGAAACGCATTTTACGTGAATCACCGCAACGCTGCTATTTATAAACGCGTAACGCCGATTATATATATTTTTTTGGTGGTGGTGGTGGATATGTAGAATACAGAGAGAGGGGCAGCAATTTGCCTTATTCTTTCGGCACGGCGGTGATAATTTGCGTGTGCCATCGGAGGTTTTGGTAGCGCGGCACGTGGTGGTGGTTGTTGATTTACTTGAAGGTGGTGGGTGGGTTACCGTCTGATTACCGTCCCGAGGGTTAGTTGTGAAGCGGCCGCCACACCGTCGCTCCACGACTGCGGGAGGGGGAGGAGGAGGAGAAGGAGTCGCCGATGCGAGCACCCAGAGAGAGACCCAGAGAGAGAGACACAGAGAGAGAAAGAGAGACCCAGAGAGAGAGAGACATCGCGGGCGGCGCTGCGACGTTCCACTGCAAGATGGCTGCTGAGAGGAGCCGCCGTTAGAAACGCGAAGCTGCAGCGCTCGCGATAAACAAACACATCTTTTAAATTTATACAAAAGTCGTCGTCGTCGTCGTCATTCATTTGTTTTTATTCTACCAAATTTGTGTGGGGGGAGGGAGGTTTTTGGTGTCCCTGCTCGAGCGGGTCCGTTCTCTTGCGGCGGCAACGTGAAACAGAATGACTAAGGGAGTGGTAAGTTGTGATTTTAAAAATCGGTCTTCTTACCTCGGGGATTTTCCCTCGTCACATTATTGAACTGATTGTATACAGCTATCGAACTAGGAATTGGCTACGACACGTGTGTGTGTGTATAACATTGTTTAATGACATCTGTTACGTTGAAAGTGAATTATGGACACGGAATGTTGCGTCGTTTTTGATTGGGAAATGTATTTCATACAGCCTACAAACCAACAAAAAAACGATTTGCAATTTATATTATTGGTTCTTTCGGTATTTTATTGTTTCCCTTCTACGTGACTTTACCGAAAGAACCAAGAATATGAATCCCAGCAGTCGCGAAAGCTTTAAATCAAAATTAGCAATTTGATGAGGCTCGTGACACCATCCATCGCTCTCTTCACGAAATGTAATCGCGTGTGTCGGTACCTTACCCCAAATGTTTATACAAATAAAACACACGGTGATATTGCATGCATGCTTTAAAAAAAAATACGTTAAATCTCCTTCCTTACATTTGTAAGACAATTGAACAAAATGGGATCTATCATATGCACGTTATCTTATGACAATGCAACAATTGCCCACGCGCGCCATGATATATATTTAAAAATGTTGTTGCTGTTGTTGTTCCATTTGGCAGCTGGCTGCTCATAACAACAAAGTCCAGGACGTGTCCCAGGAGGAGTCCGCGGTTGTTGCAATGGCAATGCCCACGGCTCCACCCAGCTACGCCGAGGCGACGTCGGGCAAGGGAGGTGCCGCCTATCCTCCGCCCGTGCCACCTCCACCCGTGCCACCACCACAGCTCGGTTGGGCCTACACAAATAATAACAATAGCAGCAGCAGCAACAACGCCGGTCCCGGTGAGTTGTTGTTTTAGTCGAATCTCTTCTACCTTCCCCCCACCACCACACACACACACGTTTCTTCATTTGTTCATCTTCTAGAATCTAGAACCATAACATTTTGGGCCGCTTAGGGCGAAAACCCGGTTTTTTTTTGCACGAATATCTCCTCCGTACTAATAATGTGGTGTTTCCACTTCTTCTTGTTTTTCCCCTTCGCTGCGTCTTTCAGCTGAGACAGCTCGCATCCTGTCCGATGTTTAATATTCGACGTGCAGTTAAGATTATGGGTTTTCCTTCTCTTTCCCAAGCGCATTCAAGTGTTCCCTCCCAACACAGTCCTTTGCAAAGGGTCATCATCATCATCATCAAAGTCCTTCTTTGTAACGTGTCTAAACGTTTCTTCATTTGCACACCGTAAGAATTGCAGTGATTGCAGCGGACGTAGTCTAGTGGGTCAGCGCTGACTTGAGTGTGATTGCACTTCCGTCCGGGGAAAACCAGCGCGTTCATTTCAATGAGTATATGAGCATGTCTTGGATATTCCCTTTGTCGGATCAGCCATAAATGAGTTTCGTTAGGCACGGTGTGTAAATGACAGCACCTGTCAGATGTGGATATGGCAGTGTTGCCAGCCTTAATTGGTGCTTGATCACGGTGCTTGTCCCTACAGTCTATAATGTCAAACGGGTGACGTCTTTTTTTAAACGTTTTTTTTGTGCAGGATTGGGATTGTGTATCCATACAGTGGTGTAATCTTGATTTAAAGCTTTCGTGACTGCAGGGATTCATATTCTTGGTTCTTTCGGTCAAGTCACGTAGAAGGGAAACGATAACATAATACAAATATAAAACAATAAAATTCTCACGACGTTTCGACTGCAACACAAGCAAAATCATCATAAAATTTTCTTGCAGTGGTTTTCACAATTGATGATGATTGCGGCTTGTGTTGCAGTCGAAACGTCGTGAGAATGTTATTGTTTTATCATTTTATTGTTTCCCTTCTACGTGACTTTACCGAAAGAACCAAGAATATAGTGGTGTAATCGTCACATTTTAAATAGCGTTTCCTATTTCAACCCGAATTGTTTAAAACATGAGCGTCAAGAACCTGAACCTTGGCACATTGTAATGCTTAACCTTTAGGTACGATAAATACCGTGTAAATTAAACAGGTTAACTGCTTTATTTGAAAATGAAAAAATAGAGGTAATGCCTTGCTGAAAATCCCATTTGAGCTTTGTAATGCAGTTGTGATTCAATGGGAATGAGACTGACTGATGAATATAGTGCATACAAGATTTAATCTTTATTGTCACAACTTAATTTTGAGCCATTTTGCAACGTTGAGCAATGTGAAAAACATTCTAGAAAAATAAGTCTGTACAGTCCCTTGTATTACAAAACCACAGCAGTTGCCATTTGGCTTCCTAATGCCGACGTTTTAAAGATAATTGAAATTCAAGTCAAATTGAGTAATTTGTTAATCTGATTAACAACTTCATTCTTGGTTAATGTGTTGCTATTCCTATGTATCCAGCCTTGGGAGAGGAATTTGGGCCACAGCTCATTAGTGCACCCACCCCGTGTGTGCAAGTTGCCTTGGAGATATTTTTATACGCTTCAGCCATTTGTTGACTGCAGCATAAGATATATTTGATTTTGTATGCTGACTGCATGCCTCACTGACATGTCACACCAATATTGTATTATGTCAACTACATTTGTAAATGAAATTCGCTTTGAATACTGATATTCAAACAATTTGCTTTTAAATTACTGTACGCTATATTTCAGTTGTATATTGATCAAAACGAGCTCATGAGTTTTTTTAAACGTCAATATTTACACGTCTGCTTTTGCGATCAGTATTATGATTAATAGTTGATATTTGGGTAAAATCTTATAAGTAAAATGTCTATTGTACACACTGGCGGTTCCAGTGGGGGGGGGGCACGTGCCCTCCCAATGATCCGATCGAAATCTCTAATTTCGATCGGATCATTGGGGTTTATTAGTAATAAATCGGCATTTTGCGACCCCCACTGCCACTGTGTAGGATATTATTATGTGTCAGGGACTCTGAGATGATAGGAAAATAGACTGAGTCCATAATTGGCAATAATTAACGGCAGTGCAGTTATAAGCGACTCAGAATTGTGCGTAGTTGCGTATTCAGTACACGACTTCCCTGAAGACATTCACCTTCAGTGAGCATGATGCCGATCACACAACGCGGTTCGAATTCGACCTTCGATCGATGGCTGCGCCATCACCGCACACACATTGAATAAAAAGCAAGGGACAAGTCCTTACTAACAACTCCTCTATCATTTTTCATTGCTGGAGGGGTTGCCCCCCCTACCTGAAAATCTTGGCTCCGTCATTGAATGTACACCCTCCTCCACCCGACACTGATATTTTGGAGACCAATCCACAACATTGGTAAATGTTGTGGATTGCTTTCCAATGTTCTGGATTGCCGAAGCAGCAATAGATTGGTACCCTAGTTCACGTGACAAGTTTATTAATATTTTACTTAAGTGATATGGCCTAAAAATCAATTATGAATGCATCACCATGTTGTAGCCAAGTATGGTGTAATGTTAGGACACAGTATATCTTGAATAATGATCTGTTAGTGTTATATCTATATGAAATGCAACTCTTCTTTGTTGTGATGGAGAGTAGCTCCAAGCTATGGACAGGCCTACACAAGCCCCTCGTACACCCCATACACGGACACGAGCAGCAACATCGGCGACAGCTTTTCCTCGAACACATGGGAGGACAAAAACCTGCGACGGGTCTTCATTAGAAAGGTGCGTGAAGCAGCGAGGGAGGCTGCCTATTTGATTGTCTGTATTTAAAATAACATGTCAGGGATAACCAGAATTATCTGAATTTGTCTGGAGATTGAGCGATTGCAACAATAATTTTAGTGGCACAGAAAGTTTATTCATAATTATATGGATTTAAATTCTATATTCAAAAATGTAATGTTTTAAGCAAATCAAGAATATTATCTCCGGGATGCAGCATTTTATAGCTCATCTGCTAAGAACCACTTCATTTTCATTAATTATCATAATTTCATTTTTGCCCATGGTGTCCATGGCCTACGAGCAGATTATTGTTCATACAGAGTTCTCGTGAGGTCCTAGAAGGTAAGCAGGGCAGACCCCCTGCATAGTGCTTGGATGAGAAACCACCAGTGCATAAACCAGATGTCATGGGTTATTGTGGGGTTACATTGTCAGCAGAGGATAGTGTATCTAAAATCAGCATAGTATATAGTATGCTAAAATAATCCCCCCCATGACCTGTACAGCATATGGTTTAACAAAATGGTTGTAGATGTACATTGTGTCCAACTTTACAGCCGTTTATAAATTTGTTCCCTCATGATGATTACACACGCTTGAGCGTGGACACTCAAATTGTCGTGCATACACATTGCTTGCTTTCTCTCTTGCCAGGTGTATGCAATCCTCATGCTGCAGCTGCTGGTGACGTTTGGGATTGTAGCCATTTTCACGCTTTGGTAAGAATTTTTTCTTAGAAGGGACATGTGCCTTAGCGCTACAATATAACGTATTATATGTGTAGTGTTTGGTAATGGCATTTTTTTGCCAAGATGACAGTTTAATAATTAATAAGATTTTAACTGAATGCATTCGCAGTGAACCAGTGGGCTATTACGTGAAGAGGAATCCTATTTTGTACTGGTCGTCATAGTGAGTATATCTTGCCCCTGCACTGATTCAAGCTGCAACATTCGCATTGTGTTTTTTTCCCCATCTGTTATTCATTAACAATCGTCAGCCATTGTCAATCCACTGCTGGTTGAAGGCCTCCGCAATTCTCAATGATCTCCCATCATCCAGTGATGTAACACTCCACCCAGCACCTGTATCCGAGCTCATTGCATCGCTCCATCTCCTCAGCGACGTGCTCTTGAACTCGTTCCATTTCTTGGCTGCCACAGCTTCACTATTCTTGACCATTGGCCATCGTCCCTTCTAGCGGCACATCCTGCCCAAACCGACTTACTTAACTGTTTGAATTATGTCTTTAATCTGTGCATGTTCTCTAATGCATATGTACCACTTCCTGTCTCTTAAAGTACTGTAATTCAACGCGTGCATCTCCCCGTGCATTTGCTTCCACTGTATTGAAGCTAATCGTACAGCGATTTCAGCACCGTTTTAATTGAATTTTTTTACCAAGCTTATAAAGAAACACGTGGTTATAATTCTTCAGATTCAACATTACATGCATATTGTGTGTTGTGTTTTGTGCAGTGCGGTGTTCCTGGTTACCTACTTGGTGTTGGCATGCTGCAAGGAGCCTCGGTAATTGCCATGCTGACACAATTTAGCATTGACTTTTTTGTTGAGAGTATTACTATAATCTCCGGATTATAAGATGCACTTTTTCTCCTATATTTTATAGCAAATGTTTGGGGTTACATCTTATAATCCAGTATGTGGCCTTTATTGCCACTGTGGCCGCCTTGACATGTGTGACAATATTGAAATCACTTTACTGGCACTGGTGGGCACAGTCAACAACTTGATTTCCACCACATAGCCACTTCTACTTTTACCGTATTCTCTAGATTATAAAACATACTTTTTTCCTTCAAAGTACACTCTGTAATTAACACGGCTTTAGTTAAGTGCGAGTTGAATGGAATTTATTTTTACAGCACTTCATATATATTTTCAGTGACAGCACATACACGTGAACAATGTAATGTTTGATAATTTTACCACAAGGTGCTCTTTTGCACAAATGTCTACAGATTAAATGTGTTTTCTTTTTCAGTCGCCGTTTCCCATTGAACATCATTCTCCTGTCTATCTTTGTAAGTACTTGTTTGTAAAACGATTTAATGGTGTAGATGTCCTGTCTTTCAGTATTTTTTGCATTGAATGTGCCTCACAACCACATGTTAGAATTCTTCACGGAAGTTTAGTAATAACTTAACTCGATGCAATGTAAACTTTCATCCTTATTTGTTTACAGACATTGGCTATGTCATATATGACAGGAACGCTAGCAAGGTAAGCTTTTAAGTTATCCACCTGCATTTAAAAATAATTCACAGTACAGTTACTTTACTGATTAACTTTTCATATTTCAGTGATGCTTGTCAGAGATGGTGTGACAGAAATTATCAGCAATATCTCAAACGTAATTACCATTATTTGTTTATTTGACTAAATCGGGATAACCTAGTTAAATAATGTACAGATGGTGTATTATTCCTGAAAGAACCAATAATAAGTCTACATTGTAGACTGCCAGTACACTCACTCAGGTTAAGAACCAGGCTACAGTCTACATTATAGACTGCCAGTATGCTCACTCAGTTTAATAACCATTGATGCAGTCTACATTATAGACTGCCAATACGCTCACCAGCTTAAAAGCCAGGCTATAGTCTATATTATAGACTGCCAGTACACTCACCGAGGTTAAGAACCAGGCTACAGTCTACATTATAGACTGCCAGTACGCTCACCGAGGTTAAGAACCAGGCTACAGTCTACATTATAGACTGCCAATACATTCACCCAGCTTAATAACCATTGTTACAGTCTACCTTAGTGTTTTTTTATTATTATTGTTTTATTTTTACTATTTTTATTCCCTTTATTTTGTATTATTATTTTCTATCTACGTGAAAGAACCAAAGAATATGTAAACAACTCTTCCAAATATATTCAGTATCTAGATGTCCACAAGCTGTGTGACGATTTTTGACTTGCAACCACAAACATTGTATTGCCGAGTTAAACGAGCATCAATTTCTTCAGTGTTTTTAGTATTTTCAGTAATTTACCATTTTGATTACGCATGATTATTCTGTGATTTTTTTTTACAGTGTGGAAATTTTTGAATTACTTTATCTGATGCTACTATCTCTGCCGATGTCTCTCGGATGTCTGTGAAAACGAGGTGTTTCATCTGAAAATACTTTTCCTGGTTCAGTATTTTCAACTAGCCTTTTTCCCATCCAAGGACGGGTGTATTGCAGTAAATCGGAAACTTGCAAGCGAAAAACAGACCGCGACGTGATATTCATTGCATTAATTCGTGTGCAATTTGTAAGGGCGCGGTGACACAGACCTATTTAATTTTAAGGTTATAATCCCTTGTTCATCATGACGTCATTTTTACTTTGATGTCTCAATCGCGTTACGGAGATGGCGTGAAGTGAGGGTTCTGCCTTTGTAGTGAGGGTTGTAAGTTGACACCAAGAAGGGGGGAGGGGGCGCCTCGGCCCCCCATGTGGAGTGACGTCAGCCGCTAATTATTTTTCATGGTGGGGATGTCCATTTGGAGGACGTCACCTTATAATGATTATTAATGAGGGGGGCTGTTCGATGTGGAGTGACGTCACCTGCGCATGATTATTAATCAGGGGGGAGGGTGCTCAATGTGGGATTATGTCACCCGCTCATTATTAATCAGAAGGGGTGGGGGGGAGTGTCCATTTGGAGGACGTCACCTGCTCATGAATATTAATGAGGGGGCTGGTCTATGTGGAGTGACGTCACGAGCGTTAAGGACAGACATTCCTGAGTGATTATAGTAGGTATAATGAAATGCAATTTTTTTCTGACAGCTTCTATAGCACACGGTCGGTTATGCTGTGCTTTGGAATTACTGCCCTCGTCTGCTTCTCAGTGACTATCTTTTGCTTCCAAACAAAGGTAACAGCAATTTTGTTTTGTATCTTTGGAGTTATAGTCACTTGTAATAATTAAAATGTACGAAATGGAAATTTAGAAATCAGTGTAAAACCTATTGGTCCTGCATACCCTGTTAATTCCTGTTTCCCCTCTGCAGAAATATCATAGTCCTGTATAGGTATATGAAACATTATGAAAAGTGTCTATATACATATTTGGTTTTGAAGTGCCCTTATGGCATATTGTTGCACATTGGCCCATTTTTAGACCACTGGTATTGTGTATAAATAGAGTATGTTATGAAGCTCGAAAAAAATGTTATGTAAAAAACTTGTTTATAGTACATATGGAATTATTGCAACACCCTGTATTTGTCACTTTTATGTATTTTTTTATCTTAACATTGCTTTTAAGTACATATTAACCAAGCACCATACTGTACTTTATAGAAATTCACACCTGTAAAGCTTAGACTGTATAAGGCACACATTATAATACAGCAACTCCATTCACTGGGATTACCGCCGCTCGATATGGACTGTATATATATTTGATTTCAGTATTAAACGGCTGTTTAAATCTGTGTTGCAGTTTGACTTCACAACCTGCCATGGGCTGTTGTTTGTACTGCTGATGGCACTTGTTCTCACTGGACTGGTGGCTGCGATTGCTGTGCCTTTTGGATATGTGAGTCTTTGCATGTTCATTACTCTCACATCTGGGTTCACACAATCTCCTTCGAAGTGTCAATCGAACCATGTTCCCCATGAGTGACCCCATATATGTCACCTTGTGACATTATCAGGTATAATGACGTGTGTTTATCTGTTGATAGATGCCTTGGCTGCATGTGGTTTATGGAGGCCTCGGAGCAGTTGTCTTCACACTGGTATGTTCAGGCAGCCCCATTCATCACCATAGGGCATTCAAAGATATATTTATGCTTATTTTGCACTGACATTTCACAAAAAATAGGTGAAGGATTTGTGTTAGTTTTGTCTTACTGTGCGAGCATGTATGGCTCGTGGTGCGTGAGCCCAACAGCAACAAAAACAAAAACTTCAATATTTCACAAAAAACTAGGCATTTCAATGGTTGTAAATAAAACACAGGAGAATTAAAAAAACAGTGGAAATATATATATTTTTCCTATTAAGGCAGTGTGATTGACATATATGAGTTTTGTTGTTTTTGCTTGTGCACCACTGTTAATGCAGTATCGCTGAATAATTAGTTTCATGCTTGTGTGAAGCTGTTTGCTATCATGGAACCTGCGTCTGCTTCGTTTGTGCTGCTGCGTTGCAGTTCTTGGCGTATGATACGCAGCTGCTGATTGGAAACCGCCGTTACGCCATCAGCCCAGAGGAGCACATCTTTGCCTCTCTTAACCTCTACATGGACCTTGTCTACATATTCATGTTCCTCCTGCAGATCTTTGGCAGTCGCGAGTAGGGATTATTGTGTGCCAGCCTGCTCAGAGAGCCATCCCACATGCTCTTCAATGATTGGTCAAGACCTAGGTACACTCCGCAGTAAACGACCTCTGTCAAATTTCTTCGTGTAGAATACTTTACATTAGGTTACTCCTCCGGTGGAGTTCTGTGACATTTGTTTTGCAGATTGATAATTAAGGTCATTTTTGCGCGGTGCCTGAGCATTGAAAACACCCACATGCCCTTGATATTGTTCAGGATTTTGAATTTTAAACGTGCAGTAATAATACGAATCAACATCTGTCAGAAATGTATGCTTAAGAGTCGTGCGTTCCTTGACTAAGACAAGAGAAAATATTTGAGTTTAAAATATTCGTTAATAAATAATGTTTCCTATAAATATAAAAAATATATAAAAAAATATTGGGCCTACAGAATGTTTTAAATGTATTCTATTTAGTATAGGTTATGAAAAGTGTTTCAGATGAGCTTCATAATAGTATTTCACTCAATAATAGTCATTGCTCATTCAGTGGTTCCCTTAGGTGTTAAACTATGTTTCTGCTCTGCTTTTTAAATGATGTTAATGACATGATGCTTAAATCATAATTTCCCACTTAAGTTATTTTCATTTTTGTGCATATATATTGCACTCCTTTAAATAAATGTTGCATGGGGGTGTAAATCCTGTAGTGTATTTTGTACATTGTTGATGGTGGTCATTTATATTTAAACGGTTCTATAAGTGATACCAACGTATGCCAAACTCAATGAAATAATTAAACTTCCATGCAAAATCAACTACAAATGTATTGTCTAATGGTTAGCACCAAAAATTTGAGGTATTGTATGTGCAAAAATGATAAAGTTTCTCGATATTAAGTGATGCAAGGCTTTTGGCTTCAGCCGATAAATATTTTTGAACATGTTAAAGGCTTTGTATGCCACTTGGACATTGGTTGCTTCCAATTGTCAACTATCGTGATAAACCATTCGGTGAAGTAGCTACATTTCTTCAAACGCGGTTTTTTCAAGGATACAACACCGTGTTCTATTAATTATAAGACGCACTATCTTTTGTTGTATTTGAAAGCAAAATGTAGGTGTGCGTCTTAATATCCGGCACATGTTTACAGTGTGTCTAACTTACCGGAGCGTCTTATAATCCGGAAAATACATTGTGATTCTTAAAAGCCGTTGTTAAAAGTATCACTTATTGTATCTGTATCTTAGAACTGTAATTAAACCGTTGTATAAGTAACAAGTGTGTAGTGTAGATATGTAAAGGAGATGGGAGGGAACCATTAAACGTCAGATTTTTATCGAATATTTGTTTTAATTTGGAGTAAAGTTTGTAGATTGTGGAGATATTTTAAAACCTAAACCTAAAGAAATTAAATAGGCTATCGTTATTTAACCTTCACTTTTATAATCGACAGTTGAGTTTGATTCCTGGCCATGGCTAAAATCGGTGGGAATTGATATCTGAAACAGTCTTCGGCTCGTTTAACCAAACCAAAATGACTAGCGTGGTGAATTATGGTCAAACTCCAATAGTTGATATGGTGTAGCGAGGCCTTCATTCGGAAATGGAATGATAAAGGGCTGAAATGTATTATTTGTCAATTTAGACTAATTTGTAAATGTTACTGCAGTTTAAACATCGCACAATTTTGCAATGAGAAAGTCATTTAAAAAAGTTTATTTAGAGTTGCTGTAGCGGTGTGTTTTTATTGAAGTCTCGGGGATTTATAGCTTCCGTCAGTTAACTTTTTTCATTCTGGTTGTTGTAACTTAGAAACAGAATCCCTGTGTTTACTGCTCGTGTAAAGTACTTTCAGATTTTGTTGGCAATACTTTTGATTTATTGAGGCCAGCAGTTTGCATATCTGTAACTTCTGAGCATCTCCAATGTAGAATGTTTTAATGATGAAAACAAATCAACGACATTGAGTTATATTACTTGCCTACACTGTATTTAGTTTTAGGCCTTTCGAAGCTATTCAAGATCCGGTCTTGTCACGAGTCGGCAAGGGACTAACGTTAAATTGCACCGTTTTGCATAATTGCAGCGTATAATCAAGAGTACTGATTGGTGAGGTTTTCACATGTGAGTGGCCTCATTAATCAGCTACTGGACGTGTGGTTTTACATAATAGCCTGAATACTTCAGTACTATGCCTGAGGTGATATTGTTAAAATTATGTCATCTTTTCAACTGATGCGATTCTGTTCATACGAAACATGACGGGGTCAGTGTCCCGACATTTGTGTTGCCCGACTGTGCATTGCTCAGATCGCGAGACCACTTAACAGGGGCACCCCGTGAAGGTTGTCGTCTTGCTCCCGTATAGAGTATACTGCTGCAAATTGCACCTTTCCATACGAAAGAAGAAGACCTGATGCTGCTTGTGTTGCCAATGTTGATGGATTGCGCACTCACCCGTAGCAGCAACAAGTAATCGATTCATTTCTCGAAACTGATTTCTCTATACCATTCGTGCAGCAAAATCATTTAAGGGTCATTGGCCATGTCCTCAGAACCCTCATGAAAAATGTGTTTCTGGGATAAACAATTATTAGTCCTCACGAGAGCTGTGGTTCATGATTGCCTGCTGGTCAGTTTTCTCCTTGTATGTGTGCAGAGTGCTTTGACGCAAATTTGGATAATTGCTGCTGAAGTCGCACAGTTCATTGCGTATATTACAGGACACGTGGATACGCTGGGTCGCTAAGCGAGGGGAAAGGACTGAGCTTGTTGAGGCAGACGCACAGTCCCCAACAAGAGGCATGGGAGAATGAACATTTGGGTTACGGGGTTTCAGTTTGAACACTTCAAGCTGAGACCCGAAGAGATTTTTGGTGGTTATGTAAAAGTTAGACGGACCACTCACTTCTGACCAGCGATGGGTGCGTTGTGATTAATCTGCTCATTAAAATTCAGCCGTCTTAGAACTGGGTTGAGTGACCACAATGCAGACTTTAGCTACGAAAGCAAAAGGTGCAGAGTCGATGTGAAAATAATTATGTATCCCTGTACTTTGTAAAGTGGTGTGATTGTGGAATATTTCTCTTTGATAAGCCTTGAGTATGCACCAATAAAGTGTATCAACAATGAGTGGTATCTTATTGTACTTTATCACCTTTATTAAACAAAAAATATGAAACTGTGACATTACATAGTGTTTTAATATGGTAAGGTATACATTCTTTTGGAATGGGCTTACATTAATGAGAGCAGCATGATTCAAATACTGTACTATGTTTTTAGACCATTGGAGGCTTTTTTAATTAAATACTTGATACAAAACTAGTTTTATTGGCAGCTACATTGTATGCCATTAATATGGGCTGGTTTTACGTTGAAGATGTATTGCATATAAAATTGCAGTTTTGCATTTCATAATTACGACACTAATTAAGATCCACTTATGTAAAAATCCAATCCTTAAAACACTTCACATACATGTAACACAATGATATTTGCCTGCTCAACCCAGGCAGGCAAAGGATATATGCCCAGAGATGGAGCGATGAAATCGGATCACCTGTAGGCACTGGATGAATTGTCACATGGCGAGACCGAGAGGGGCGACGACCGAGTGTGTGATGGCCTTCATCCAGCAGTGGTTAGGTCTGGGCTAATGAGTAAAAAGTTTTTTTTTTGTATTTCCCAAACATTTAGTAGATGTAGCTTTTTCGAGATTAACGAACACATGGCAGCCAATGAATTAGAATGTGTCCACGAGGTTTCGCACACCTTGGAGATGGAGCGATGAAATCCGTTCATGTGCAGGTACGAGGTGGATTATAACAGCGGCGTGTGTGCTAAGTGCCCACCTGCAGTTGCTGTCCAACAGTCGGTGCTATGTCACTACACATGCACGGCCTAGAGAATTGAGAGGGACCGGGGGTGGAGGGCTGACGGCTGTCTGCTGCCGGACCCCGTCGCGACCGATGGAGAGGGGGGATGGATCGGCCACTTAACGGCACGGAGAGTTCGTCTGTCCTAGCTTGCCAACAGTGAAGTTGTTTCCTTTTACTCCCAAAATACTGCGGCATACCTGAGGCTTTGCCACGTGACAGCGGTGCTTCTCAACCGGTGCTACGCGTACCCCTGGGGGTGCGTGGGGTGCTTTATAAATCTGTGAAATTGTAATCATACATGAGCCATTGGTGAATAATCACGTATGAATCTGCCAATATATATAATAAAAAAAACCACGATCGAATTTAAATCTACTTGAGAACCTGGAACGAGATAAAATACCTTTCTAAACTAATTTATCGTACACAATGTTGTTTCTAAGAGTAACTGGCTAGCGTGAACAAATTACGTCTTGCATTGCTGGAGCGTCCGTTCATCTACAGTAATTTTTTATTCACTCGCAGCTACATCCTGTGCTCTAAGCTCGTTCGGATACCTCACTAAAATTGACAAAAGGTGAAAATGTTGATGTTAATTCACTGCATTCACATTTATTTCTCAGCTATGTTGGGTCAGGCCAAGGGGGTTACTCGGTTGAAATAAAAATTCAACAAGGTGGGGGTGGGTTACAGGTCGCCAAAAAAAGGGTTGACGACCACTGCTCTATCCACTGCTAGATGATCATTAACGTGGCGCTGGTGTGGGGCCGTCCATAAATGACGTCACGCGATTTTGGACGATTTTTTACCCCCCCTCGCCACACGGCGTCACAAAAAGTCAGACCCCCCCCCTCAAATATGACGTCACAAAGCTCTGCCGCCCCCCCCCATAAAAAAATAAAACATGCTTCAAATCGCTTTAAACTATTGTCATTGTAGTGCGTATTAAATGTGGCGCTGCACTCTGATGTTGTAGGAGAAAACATTTATTAAAAAAGTCTATTTAATTAAGTAGAACGTGTTGTCTATATTTATTTAAAGTTGCGCATTTTGATGTGACGTCACATTTCTCAACCCCCCTCCCCCCCCATCGTCACACATCGTCACAAATGTCTGACCCCTCCCACTCTAGGTGCGTGACGTCATTTATGGACGGCCCCTTAGGCAAGGCGTGGGGGCAGCAGGCACGATGCACATGGCAAGGGCTCCACCGCAGCTTGGGGTCGTCGCAGTCTCTGTGGCGCAATCGGTTAGCGCGTTCGGCTGTTAACCGAAAGGTTGGTGGTTCAAGCCCACCCAGGGACGGAGGATGTTATTTTTTTTATATATAAACTTTTTTTTTCTGTCACGACATTTTACGAATTAGTGGTGAGACAAGCGTCATCGGTTCACTCGTTTATAATGTAGTTTTTTTTTTAAAACGTATTCTGCGGATTATAAGACGCTTCGGAAAGTAAAGACGCACCACCCCCGACTTGTGCTGGGTGGTGGGGGGGGGTCTTCTAATGATCGACTGCTCGACCAAGATCGCCCCCACACCGTGTCGAACATGCGGGGTTGTCTGACCATAACTTCACCACGCTGGTCCGCTGGGGGGGGGGGGTTGGGGGGGGGGGTCAGTGAACCTAGGTGCCAAAACATGATTTATATCGAGATCTGGTACCGGGGGCATTGTGTTGCAACTTAATTCGGGGTTCAACTGCAGCAGCCACGGTAAATCCACTGCTGCTGGACGAATTCCTCCATCGTGCGATGTGATGACCTGCCCAAGAACCACCTTGCACGCGCGCGAGCCGTTCATTTTTCATCGCTCCATCTCCCACACGGCGGTCGATGTCCTTCCTTCCTCTCTCGGACCGCGTTGCCACTCCCTCGGGCTGTTCCACTCCATCGCGAGCCGCTTCAAACCATCGGGCCCCCCCCCCCCCTTTCGAGCGAGGAGTTCAGCCCACGCCAGCTTATCTCACTTTTGTCCTGCCCGAGTCCTCTTTAAGCCACGATGCGCGCCTGTCTCCCGGTGGTCTTTGGTGCAAGCGGTAACAGCCTCGAATTTGCACCAACACGTGTCTGTGAGCATGTGTTGGTGCTTAACGCCAAGCTTACAAGGTGCTTCAACGGCATGGTTGGGCACAGCCGAAATAGCTCAGTTGGGAGAGCGTTAGACTGAAGATCTAAAGGTCCCTGGTTCAATCCCGGGTTTCGGCAAAGTTGCTATATTTTTTTTTAAATTGCTCTAAACGGATTTGCCCAAAAATACGAACATTCACCGTCGACTTTCGACAGTTAAACGAAGCGTGTAATCTCACAGTGATGCTTGGTTCACTTAATTGGGCACGTTTTCGCGTACCATTGTCACCCACCAACAACAATTCGACAATGTCGACGTGAAACCAGTGCTGCGTGCAGGGCGTGACGAACACGATTTCATCCGGGAGCCCAGTAGGAGGCGATCTGGAGCAGCTTGAATCATGGGAGCTGATGAGACGTGCTTTGGCATTTGTGTCTACGCGGTACATATTTGCACGTCTGTGATTAACTTCGTCGAATCTGTCTGGATAGGTGGCCGACTCGGCCCACCACATAAAGTTATAACTCTCGCAATGGGCTGTGACTACTAGTCATATGCCTACAGCGACCGGGAATATTCTTTAGTGAGATCATTAAAACCCCTTCTTCATATCGCTGAGAGATGGGCGACCACCAATGCATGCAACCGTTGCTACGGGACTATGTTGTTAGCAGATAGGCAGTGCAGAAACATTCACTGCTCTTTCGCCTATGTTCCTCGCCTTCACCAACCCTTGCAGACCTGCAGCGTGATGAAGTATGGACAAATAACCACATTTGGCCGGCGAAGAGTAGGGATGCCTTCATCCCGTAGTGGATTTACAAATAAAATGTCTGTCAATGTACGGGTTACATATTGTTAAATAAGCATGTGTTGTAAGTCGGAACTAGGTGGATTGCTTCATCACGATTTCCTGAGATATGGCGATGGCTTGGGAAGACTGTGGATAGATCATAGCAGACCATTCGGATAAAGAATATATATGAGATACACTTGTGAAATGTATTGCAGTAGTTGAATTATTCTAGATTTGAAGCTTTCGTGACTGCAAGGATCCATACTCTTTGGTTCTATTCGGTAAAGTCACGTAGGTAAAAAATAAAAAATAAAACAAAAATCACGACGTTTCGGCCACAACACAAGCGGCCTTCATCAGGTGAAGGGACCGGACTGTCTCGAGGACAGCGCTGGAGTGAAACACAGCCAAGCTCAGACCGCGACCTTTAAGCTGTGTGAGAGTAATTAAGGCGCCTTGTCAAAGGAATTAGCATAAAAAAATTGCATTTTAATAGACGGACTTAGCATGATGAAAGGTGGGGAGGGGGTGAACATGTGCAGGCTGGCGAGGGGGCAAGGTAGAGTCGAATTATTGTACAGCTCCTAATGACGTATGTGATCGGGGTTCTCTCCCGAACACCTGAGTTGCTCAGAACCAATCGAGCAGGTTGTTACCCCAGTTCTGCAACAGAGAAGTTGTTCAACGAAGCATTACGGATGACTGGGTGTTTCACATAGATTTGTAATAATTCGTGATAGGAAACGATCATAAATACAAGTCGCAAAATGTGCGGCAGTGCTCACAAAGTCTTTACTCAAGCGTGACAACAAAGATGGGAGAACGCGATGCACATTTTGGTAAAGTTTTGGATATTCGTTGCGTTAATACAGCTGTGAAATGTTTGTACAATTTCAGAGAAAACTGTTGCACCGTGTGAAAGTGTGTCGCTTTTTTTGAACTCTCTGAAAATTACATTGGCAGATCTGGTTGGAAATATTCAATTTCTTACGACCTTCAAACCCTCTCAGAATGAAACCATTGCTCATAGCACATGGGTGAAGTCTGCTGTTACAACGTAACCATGGATTGTATTATTTTTTTCAATTAAGCCCGTATGCCATGTGTTGTCACTGTTTGAAAAAAAAAATGCTGTGGTTCTTGATTATTTATGGTGCTTAGCACATGCCACTGCAATTTCCAGGTTGGCTTGAAAGAAAGCATGACATCTGGAAGCCGAGACGAATTGTGCAGACGAGACCACAAGTCTTGTGCAAGCTCCGCAGCAGATGATGTACTCGTGGCTCCAGGAAGACTGCATTACGTGCAGCTAGCAAGCCGGCTACTAGCGTTGATACTTTATATCACCAGGTCTTCCTGAAACCGTTCGATGTGCTGACACACACAC